CACCGACCGAATTTAGGCGCCGAATTTAAGCTTCAGAATTTAAGCTTCAGGGGGGGACGAAACCGGGACCCACTTCCCCGGGTCCCTGGTACATTCATGGATACATAGCCGGCCACACACAATGTCACGTTACGTTACACGTCATTTCATTCCTTTCCATCGTCAAACGCAGTACACATTTACGCATACCTACCTATCTACCTGCCTGCCTGCCTGCCTGTCTGCGTGCCTGCCTACCGACCTACATGCATACATGTGTACGTACGTCCTCAGATACGTCGAATGCAGTTCAATGGAGGCATGATGTGCGTTGTGGCTTTGGTCTCTCAGGTTACGATCCTGGCCTCGTTCATGTTATATATTTGCGCGGTCATTCTCGTCCGGGCATACGGACGCAGCACCCCTGAAGACGACCCCTACCATGATTTCTTCATTTCCCACTTCGGACACTCAGCTTAAAGGTGCTTTTGTGTCGGGTGTGTGCCAGAAAGCGGGCCAGAGTCCCATCATGCCTCCTGAGGCAGCATACCAATGACCATGTTCGCTTTGTTCGAGCTCATTACAGCCCCTGACTTGGCACCCTACCGCGTTCCTCGTCAGCAAACGGATGGCAGTGCCGGGAAGTCGTGCCTCACACAAGAGAGCGAGCTCGCCGGACAGACGACAGACGATGGAGAAAGGGAGAACAAAGGCGACATGTTAGTGCTCATGTGGAGAAAGTTTCCAAGCAAGCTTGCACGACTTCGGTGCACTCTGCACAAGGTTTACGTAAACATCTTGCCGAACCCAGGAAGCGATGTTCGCCAATCCTCCCCTCGTCGTCTTTCTGGTTGTGTTCATTATCTTGGGTAGCTTCGGCATCAACGGTCTTCTCGTGGCCCTCATCAACGAGAGCATTCTGGACCCATGACTTGATGTGCAAGAGCTAGACAAACAGTGCATACCGTACCTTTGTTTCTTTCTTCTCCCTCGCTCGCTCTGCTGACAGCCTTGGCAAGTCTGTCGTCATTTGGCCCCGAGGAGAAGAACCAGGCACGCATCGAAGCGGACCGAATGGACCGCGAAACAAAGCGCAAGACCATGCAGCAGCGGTGTGGGGAGCTCTTCGACGAGATGGACATGCGCCTCGGGCTTTTCTTGCGCGAATCTGCAACCCAGAATCCTCAAATCCAAATCCTACTTTGAGGAACAGGAACCGCGTACTGCCTCGCGACGAGATCAAGCAATGCACGGAGCAGATTGCCGAGCTTCTCGAAAGCTATGGGGTGAACTTTCAGCGAGCAGATTTGGACCAGATGTTCTATGTCATGGACTACAGTGACACAGGCAGGGTTCATGTCCTCACGGAGAGATGCTGATGGCTGATACTCGTCTTGAAGTTCTCAAACAGGCATCATCGAGCGGTCCGAGTTCATCCAGGGTGTGGTGGGGCTGTGCGATCAGATCCGGCCAATGTCCATCATGGAGCTCCACTATCAGGCTCGGGCCTACACCCGAGTTATCCCGCGTTTTTATTCAGGTTCGGACTTCAGGCAGGCAGACAGACAGCGAGCCACGGAGCGATCGTATCTGCCCCCACATCTACCCACACCAAACGCAACTGCACAACCTCACTGTCACTTCTTGCGCAATTGCAGCTCTAGGTGCTCTTGCCCAGGCCGTGGTACTGCTGTGCCTACTCCAAGTATGGAATCCAAGCCGTTGCTGCCAATGTCAATTGCGGCATTTGTTACTGTTGTAATCTTTGCTGACTTGGTGGTGGTGATGCTGATGACGCTGATAAAGATGATGGTGATGCCGGCTGACCTTGCTGCTGATGATGCTGCTGGCGGCTCGCGACCGATGAGCCGCGGTCACTGTCCACTTGGCGCAACCACTTTCCTACTGTTTTGTAGTGGCCAGCATCAAGGTCATGATCGCTTGTTGGCATGGTAGTGATAATGATGCTGGTGCGAGCTTCGCGGTGTGGATTGATGATGTTCAGCATGTGTATTTCTACGTCTTCTCATGTTGTCTTGCTGGGGGTGCAAAGTCTGCTGCGATGTCGTCCTTCCTCTCGGCCGTTTGCATTTCGTTTTGCTGTCCGGATGGTTTGTTGGCACTGCTGTGCATCTGTTTGGTTAATTATCAATGGTTGCCATCATAGCTGGTCATTGCCGAGGTTGCATGTCGCATGGTTCCTGCTTTCATTGTGTTGTTGCTGCAGCAGCAGCAGCAGCAGCAGCAGCAGCAGTAGCGGTTAGCAGTAGTCGTAGAAGCAATAGAATTGTAATAGTAGTAGTGGTGTAATAGTGGTGTAGTAGTAGTAGTAGTAGTAGTAGTAGCATTAGTAGTAGTAGTAGTAGTAGTAGTAGTTGTAGTAGTAGTAGTAGTAGTGGTTGGTAGGTAGGTAGGTAGGTAGGTAGGTAGGTAGGTGGGTAG